CACAGCCAATGGTCGGAACCGCCACTGGTGCTCACAGCTCCCACGTGGGATTTAAGCTCGGAATCGCCACCCGAACCCACGCCAGGGCCGGGACAGGGACCGCCATTCCTGCAGCGGCTTCTACTCCCGCCCGGCTCAGCCCACAGAGGGCAATGGCAGCGCCCATGCGGAGGAGACGGGCTGAGGTAAGTTCGAGTCCCCCAGGCCCTCACCGCCTCCTCACACACACACCACAGCCTGGGGAGGGCGCCTGTCCCGTCCTGCAGCTCAGTCCCGCGTGGAGGACCGTGAGGGAGGTGGAGTGGAGGGAGGAGTGTTGTGGCTTCTGAGGACACAGCAAGTGCAGGGCAGAGAGGACGGGGGTGACTTGCATCTGAAGGTCCGTGAGGATGTGGCTGTGAGTATTGACGGAAAGAGCAGAGGCTGCGGGGAGGACGGCACAGACTCATTCGGGGCTTTCCCGGCTGTGGGTCCATCCGGGGCCTGGGGTGGTCCTGGATCCGGCTGGACTACAAGCTCTCCACACGCCATATGCCAAGTTCATGGGTGAGTCCAGCGAGATCCAGTGGCATTGGAGCAGGAAGGGGGCAGAGCTGGGGAGTGAACCTGGGGTCTGAACATGGGAAGGGGATGAACATTACCCAGTGGTGAGCACATCTGGAGGAAGTGTGAGCTGATGGTCCGGGGACCTGGTGTGGGGACTTAAAGTGAAGCATAAACGGACCCTTGTCTTTGTCTTGGAGGCAGGATCTAGGAGACTGCAGTGGTGTTGCTTGGCAGGCAGGCTGGGGCCCTGCAGGCATCGCCCAGACCTTAAATGGCGTTGCCCTCTACCCTACCCTCTCCCAGTCCTTTCCATCCAACCCAGCTGCTCTGCTGAGGGCCATCACAGTGAGTAATGGGACTGTGATGAGAGAGCAGCCTGCACTGGCATTGGGGCCTGGTGTCCACACTAACTGGGTGCCCTGGAGGAGGTTGAAGGCAGGAAGGTGTCTAAGGTATAGAATTACTGGTTCCCAGAAAGGCAGGTCTGGTTATAATTGTCTCGATTCTGACAGGTTGGCGTGACCTTTGAGGACATTGCCCTGTACTTCTCCAGGGAGGAATGGAGCCTCCTTGATGAGGGTCAGAGACAGCTGTACCTGAATGTGATGCTGGAGAACTTTGAGCTTCTATCCTCGCTGGGTAAGACCCTCACTCTCACCAGTGACCTGGACTTGGCTTTGAGGTTTCCGAGGCCCCATCCTCCAGGGTGTACTCTGTCCTCCCACATAGACTGCGGTACTGCTTATTTTTTCCAGTTTTCAAGGTATTTGCTGTCCTGGGGAGGGTTGGTCTGTTTCCACTGCTCCCTTCTATTCCTGAAGTCCCAATACTCCCTGCTCCACTAAATTCACAGGAAAGGACTTGTGGTTGGTAGTGTTGTAGACATCTAAGGGATTCCACCTTAAGTAGTGAAGAAAGCATTTTCTGAAGAAAAAAAAGAAAAATCGAAAGCATTTTCTGTATTCCTATTTGTCATGTGTAAATATAATTTGAAAAATTGCCTCTACATCCTTATCCAGTTTATTAACTAATTTTTTTTAGTTAAAGAATCTTTGGAATACCTTGTATATTTTATATATTGATTGCTTATTTGATACAGGAACACATATTTTTGCATGTGCTTAATTGTGCTTTGCAGATATTGCTCCCCCACACCCGCTTTTCTCCAAAGTCCATGTTTTTGTCAACTCTGCGTTCTGCAGGTCTAGTGCCACCATGTTTCTAGCAAGCTCAGGTGCTTGTTACTAGTGCTTAGCAATTAAATATTGTTAATGAAGTTATATAGACTTTGATTTTTGTGGCAGAGTCATTGCATTGTTCGTAGCCTGCAGTATAGTATTAACATACCTTCATTATTCCCGGGGAACTCCAACTATTTGTGTGAATGGGTATATATATCACAATATTAGCTTTATTGTGCTGATCAGAGCTGAATCCACAATATCTCCAAGAGATTCCTTCATATGATTTGCAAGTATTTTCTCCCGTCCTCTTGATTGCCTTTCATTGAGTTTTGTTTATTGCTGTTGTACATTGAAGACGGTATTTTTTTTTATTTGTTGCTGTGTGGACTGTTTATGTTTTCTATTTTGTGTGGTGGTTGGTGTCACATTCAGAAAATTCTGTCCAAAACAAACCTCCAGAACTTTTCTCTAGGTTGTCCTGAGGAGTTTTAAGTTTCAGTGCTCACATTTAATTCTGTCCTGCAGGTTGAGTTAAATTTTATCATTGGTGTCCAGTTTTGTTGTTTTACATGGGAGTGTTGATTATTACCAGCCCCATTCATTGAAGAAACTATCTTTCATTCATTCTGTGGCTGCTGCTTTGTCAAAGATACTTGAAAGTCTGTACCTGGGCTTATTTCTGTGTTTTCTGTTCTGTTCTGTTGATGTATGTGTCTGTGTTTCTCTAGCAACACACTGTTTGCTTGCTTTCTCTTTGTAATAAAGTGAAGTCAGGAAGTGTGATACCACCACCTTAGTTCTCCCTCAAGGTTGATTTTGTTAATCGAGGTTTTGATTCCATTGCAAGATTCTCTATTCATTTCTTTGTAAAATACCATTGGAATTATTGGGATTGCATTTGATTTGTAGATTGCTTTGTGTACTACGGCTGTGTCCACCATATTTCATTTCCAGACCCATGAACACAGATTGTCTTTGAAGTTATTTGTGTTTTCTTCCCTTCCTTTCTTCGCTGTCTTATAGGACTCACTGTACAGATGTTTCACATTTGGGTTGAATTTATTCCTGCGAATTTTATTGAGGTTTTTTTTTGTTATTTTGATTTGTTTTTAATATGTCTTTATTGATTTTTTTTTCTTTATTGGTTTTTTACAGAGAGGAATTGAGAGTTAGAAACTTTGATGGGAGAGAAACATTAATCAGCTGCCTCCCGTACACCTATGACTGGGGATGTGCCCACAACCAAGATACATGCCCTTGACCAGAATCAAACCTGGGAACATTAAGTATGCAGGCTCCACTGAGCCAGACCGGTCAGGTTCCTTCACTATTTTTCTGTCAAAGAATATATTGTTAGTGTGTAGAAATTGAACTCGTGTTTATATGTTTATGTTGCATCCTGTAACCTTTCTGAATTTAATTCTTTATACTTGTATTCACCCAAATAGCAAGGATATTTTTTTCAGTGACTTTTTTTATATTAAATCTTTATTGTTCAGATTATTGCATTTGTTCCTCTTTTTTCCCCCCATAACTCCCCTCCACCCAGTTCCCACCCCACCCTCCGTCCTCACTCCCCACCCTATGTCCTCTTTCATAAGTGCACGAATTTTGTCCAGTCTCTTCCCGCACCCCCCACACCCTTTCCCCCCCCACGAATAGTCCATTCCCTTTCTATGCCCCTGATTCTATTATAATCATCAGTTCATTCTGTTCATCAAATTATTTATTCATTTGATTTTTAGATTCACTTGTAGATAGATGTGTATTTGTTGTTCCTAATTTGTATCTTTACCTTTTTCTTCCTCTTCCTCTTCTTAAAGGATACCTTTCAGCATTTCATATAATCCTGGTTTGGTGGTGATGAACTCCTTTAGCTTTTCCTTATCTGTGAAGCTCTTTATCTGACCTTCACTTCTGAATGATAGCTTTGCTGGATAAAGTAATCTTGGTTGTAGGTTCTTGGCATT